TTATAAATACTCTCAGTCTGTAGCTTGTCTTTTCATCCTCTTAACAGGGTCTTCTGCAAAGCAAAAATTTGTGACTTGATGGAGTCCATTTTATCAATATTTCCTTTTATGGATTATGTTTTTTATGTCAAATCTAAGAATTCTTTGCCCAGTCCTAGATCCCAAAGATTTTCTTCAGTTTAAAAAAAAATGTATAGTTTTACATTTTACATTGAGTTCATACTCCATTTTAGCTAGTTTTTGTATGAGATTTGGTTTAAAGTTTATTATTTTGCATATAGCTATCCAGTTGTACCAGAACTTATGAAAAATTTCTTTCTTCCACTGAATTGCTTTTGCATTATAAAAGATCAGTTGAGCATATTTGTGTGGGTCTGTTTCTGGGCTTTTGTTCTATGTCTGTCTGTCTATCCTTCAGCCAATACCACACAGACTTCATTACCATAGGTATAAAATAAGTCTCTAAATTGGATGAATTGATTCTTCTCACTTCAATTTTCCTTTTCAAAATGTTTTAGCTGCTCTAGTTCCTTTGCCTTTCCATATACATTTTAAAACAATCTTGCCTATATCTACAAAGTATTTACAAGGATTTTATTGGGAATTGCACTTATCCTGAATATCAGTTTGGGGAGGATTGAAATCTTTGTCCTGGTGAGTCTTCCAGTTTATGAACATGGTACATTTTGCCATTTGTTTATAACTTTGATTTATTTCACCAACATTTTGTTGTGTTCAGCATACAAGTCTTGTAAAATGTATACCTAAGTGTTTCATTTTAGTTTTGCGTTAGTGTAAACGACATTACATTTTAAATTTTTGTGTCCACATGTTTACTTCCAGTATATAAATATGTAATTGATTTCTCTATGTTTATTTTGTATTCTGCCACTTTGCTAAATTCACTTATTAGCTCTAGGGGGCTTTGGGGGTGTGTGTGTGTGTGTGTGTGTGTGTGTGTGTGTGTGTGTGTGTGTGTGTGTGTTTTAGGTTTCTAGGAATTTTCTATGTAGATTCTTATGTCTTCTGCAAATCAGGACTATTTTATTTCTTTTTTTTTATCTATATGATGTTTACTTCCTTTTATTTCTTCTTTTTTGGTCTATATGATGCTTACTTCCTTTTTTTAACCTTATTTCACTGGTTAGGACCTACATCACTATGTGAGAGTGGACTTTCTTGCATTGCTCCTGACATTAGAAGAAGTACTTAGTATTTTACCATTAAGTATGATATTATCTGTATGTTTTTTGTATATGCTTTTTACCAAGGAAAGTTGAGGAAATTCTTCTCTATAACTATATTTCTGGTTTTGATCATAAATGAGTATTGAACTTTGTTTTATGTTTTTTTGTGGGTGAGGGGTAGGGGGGTGGGATGGGGTCTCACTCTGTCACCCAGGCTGGAGTGCAATGACACTCTAGACTGCTACTGCAGTCTAAACCTGCTGGACTCAGGCGATCCTTCTGTCTCAACCTTCCAAGTAGCTGGAACTACTTGCACATGCCACCATGCCCGGCTAATTTTTCTTTTTTTTTTTTGTACAGATGAGTTCTCATCGAGTTGCCCAGGCTGGTCTTGAACCCCCGGGCTTGGGCAATACTCTTGCCTCCACCTCCTAAAGTCCTGGAATTACAAGCATAAACCACTGTACCCAGTATTATTTTATGCTTTTGAAAAAATATTAATTGATATGATCATGTAATTTTTCCTCTTTAACCTAGTAATATTTATTATATTGACAGACTTTTTCCCAATTTATTTTATGAAGCTAGTATTCCTGTAATACCCAAACCAGGCAAATTTAGTATAAAACAAAAAAGACCAGGAATATTGAACCAGTCTTGCATGCACAGAATAAATCCTACTTGGTCATGGTGTATAATTATTTTTATCTATTTCTAAATTTTATTTGCAAATGTTTTGCTAAGGGTATTTTGTACCCATATTCATAGAGGATATTGATCTTTAGCCTTTTTTTTTTTTTTTTTTGGTTTGTTTTGTTTTTAGAGTTAGGGTCTTGCTCCATTGCTTCAGGCTGGAGTGCAGTGGTATGATCAAAGTTCACTGCAGCCTGAAATTCCAGGGCTCAAGAGATTCTCTGGCTTTGGCCTCCCAATTATCTGGGACTACAGGTTTGTCACCATGCCTGACTAAATTTTTAAATTTTTTGTAGAGATGGGGCCTTGCCCTGTTACACAGGCTGATTTCAAACTCCTGGCCTCAAGTCATCCTACCACCCTAGCCTCTCAAAGTACTGAGATTACAGGTGTGAGTCACCATACCTGGTCTTTTTTGTTTTCTACCAAATTTGCCCGTCCCCAGGCAGTTTCCTGAAGTGAGTTTCTTGTAGACGGTATTTGTTGGGTCGTTTTAAAAAATATATATTCCAATCTGCCAATCCATCTTTTAATTGGTATATTTACACCTCTTATATTTAGTGTAATTATTGATAAATTAAGGGTAAGTCTGCTGTTAAGGATGAGTCTGCTGTTTGGGTATTACAGGAATACTAGCTTCATAAAATAAATTAGGAAGTATATGTTCTTTTCTATTTTCTGGAAGACATTTTGTGGAATTGTTGCTAATTATCATTTAAATAGTTGGTAGAATTTTCCAGTATAACCATGGGGACTTTCTTTTTGAGTGTTTTCAATTAAGAATTTAGTTTTCTTAATAGTTATAGGGTACTCAAATTATCTACTTTATATTGGATGAGTTGAGATAGTTTGTATTTTATGAGGAATCAGTCCATTTCATCTACCTTGCCACATTGATGTTTGTAGGGTTGTTCATAGCATTTCCTTATTATTCTTTTGATGTCTGAGGTATCTGTAATGACATCTCCTGTTTTATTTCTAATAGTGTTACTTTATATCTGCTCTATTTTTTGTTAATCTTGCTAGAGGTGTGTCAATTATATCAATCTTTTCAAGTAACCACTTCTTTGCCTCATTTATTTTCTTTATTTTTTGTTTTCAATTTCCTTGATTTCTGCTCTTATCTCTATTATTTCTTTTCTTTTATTTGCTTTGAGTTTTTTTGTTCGTTTGTTTTGGTTTCATAAGATTGGTTATATTATCGATTTGAAAATTTTTCCTTTTGTAATATATGCACTTAGTGCTATACAGTTTCTTCCCAACACTGCATTTGCTGTATCTCACCAATTTTGTTAGTTGTATTTTCATTTTTATTCTGTTCAATATTTTTTGTTTGTTTGGTTCCCTTGAGTCTTCCTCTTTGACCCATGGATTATTTAGAAGTATGTCGTTTCGTTTTCAAGTGTTTGGAGAGTTTCTTATTGCCTTTTCTGTTGTTGATTTCTAGTTTGATTCCATTATGCTTAGAGAACATACTCTATATGATTCTAGTTATTTTAAATCTGTTAAGATTTTTTTGTCCTGGGTCATGATTTACCTTGGTATATGTTCTGTGAATGCCTGAAAAAAAATGGGTATTCTGTTCTTGTTGGGTGGAGTGTTTTATAAATGTTAGTTAGATCTTATTGGTTAATGATGCTTTTTAGTTTTTCTGTATCCTTGTTGAGTTTTTGTCTATTTGCTCTATCAGTTGTTGAGAAGGAGTCTTGAAGTCACAAACTAGAATTGTGAATTTGTTTATCTCTTCTTTCAGTTTTATCAGTTTCATCTCACTTGTTTTACAACTCTATTGTTGGGTGCATACTTTTTAGAATAGGTATGTCTTCTTGAATAAACCCTTTTATTATTATACAATGTTCCTCTCTGTCTCTAGTAATTTTTTTGTGTGGTGAAGTTTACTTTATCTGATACTAAAATAGCCATTTCATTTTTTTGGATTGCATGTACTTTTCCATTCTGTTACTTTCAACCAGCCAACACGTCTATTTGAAGTGTTACTTTTCTTTCTTTTTAAAAAAATATATAATAAAGTTTATTGTCACAAACTTCATTGAATTTATTTTCTTCATTTTTCAAAAAAAATTTTTATTTTAAAGATGTGGGGTATAATTCATGGTTAGGTATACAAGTGTTCATTATGTAGGTACCCTTGTTGATGAGGTGTTTCCCTCCCCCAGCAATTTCCCTCAATTGCCAATCCCAACCCCCTCCCCAGGCAGTTTCCTGAAGTGAGTTTCTTGTAGACAGTATTTGTTGGGTCATTTAAAAATATATATATTCCAATCTGCCAATCCATCTTTTAATTAGTATATTTAGACCTCTTATATTTAGTGTAATTATTGATAAATTAAGGATAAGTCTGCTGTTTAAAAAATATTATCTGCTTTTTTTCCTGCCTTTCTGTTGGTTACTTGAACACTTTTTAGAATTCCATTTTGATTTATCTGCAGTGTTTTGAGTATATCTCCTTGTGTGGTTTTTTAGCAGATGCTCTAGGTATTACATTACATATGCATTACTTATCACTATCTGTTAGCACCGTTATTTTAGCAGTTCAGATGAAGTGTAGAAACCTTACCTCCTTTTATATCTCTTTACTTACTCTCATTTAGAGCCACACCAGACAGTGCTATAGTTTTTTTTCATCCACCAAATGTAACTTAAACTCAAAAAGCTAATAACAGCCTATTGTATTTACCAATATTTTGCCTTACCATGTTCGTTTAGAGAACTTCCTCTAGTCATTCTTTTAAGATAGATCTGATGGCAGCAAATCATCTGAAAAAGTATTGGTTTTCTCCTTATGCCTGAATGACATTTTTGCTGGATATAGAATGAGAGGTTGACAGGTTTTTTCAGCAGTTGAGAAATGTGCCCTTTCCTCTGTCCTCCATAGTTTCTGATCAGAAATCTGCAGTCCAGTAGTTTTAGTTTGCAATATTGCAGGGAGGTATTTATGTCAACATGGGTAGTATGTCACAAGTTCCCTAAGTTTGAGGCCTTAGAGTCAACTAAGCAAATTGGTGGTCATTCTACATTCTATAAATTATCATGAAATGTAATATAACATATAGTAAAGGCTTAACAAATATTTTATAACTCAAGTTTAGAAGAAAAACTAGTATTTCTTTCCATTTCATTGCAACCTAGAAAGATATAATCAGTGGACAGAAAGGATAAAGGAAATACACAAAGTAACTTTTTGTGTCTCTTTCTTTTTAACCCAGCATGGAGAGATAATTTATATCCTTGCATTCATCCATCTCCATCTCAGAAATGGAACCAAATGGCACCTTCAGCAGCAACAACAACAACAATAACAAGAACTGCACAATTGAAAACTTCAAGAAAGAATTTTACCCAATTGTATACCTGATAATATTTGTCTGGGGAGCCTTGGGAAATGGCTTGTCCATATATGTTTTCCTGCAGCCTTATAAGAAGTCGACTTCTGTGAATGTTTTTATGCTAAACCTGGCCATTTCAGATCTCCTCTTCACAAGCACACTTCCCTTCAGGGTTGATTATTACCTCAGAGACTACAATTGGATATTTGGAGACTTGGCCTGCAGGATTATGTCTTATTCTTTGTATGTCAACATGTACAGCAGCATTTATTTCTTGACTCTGCTGAGTGTTGTGCGTTTCCTGGCAACTGTTCATCCCTTTCGGCTTCTCCATATCACTAGCATCAGGAGTGCCAGGATCATTTGTGGAGTCATATGGGTCTTTACCATGGCTTCCTCAGCAAAGCTTCTGGACAATGGCTCTGAGCAGAAGGGCAATGCTACATTATGCTTGGAGCTGAATCTCAAAAAAATCACAAACCTGCAGATTATGAACCATGTTTCCTTGGTGGTGGGCTTCCTGCTGCCATTCTTCACACTCAGCATCTGTTACCTGATGATCATTCGTGTTCTACTAAAGGTGGAGGTCCCAGAATCAGGGTTGCGGGTTTCTCACAGGAAGGCACTGATCACTGTCATCATTGCTTTGATCATCTTCTTCCTGTGTTTTCTGCCCTATCACACACTGAGGACTGTTCACCTGGCCACGTGGAAAGTAGGTGTATGCGAAGACAGGCTGCATAAGGCTGTGGTCATCACACTGGCCTTGGCAGCAGCCAATAGCTGTTTCAATCCTTTGCTCTATTATTTTGCAGGGGAGAATTTTAAGGATAGACTAAGGTCTGCCCTCAAAAAAGGACATCCTCAGAAGGTGAAGACAATGTTTAGCTTTCCTGCTTGTGTATGGTTGAAAACAGAAACAAGCATGCAAGGAAATACTAGGTGAGGCCTGTTCTCACATCCTTGTATCCACCTTCATTCACAAATTGTCTCTAAATGCCTTTGTATTTATATCATTCCCAACAAATGTTGATTCTCAATATTTAATTGACCATGACTTTTGTTAATAATGCCTACTTTAAAAATTCCATTAGATGTGTTTTCAATTACTGAGTCTTAATGAGGGATACAGGAGGAAAAGTTCCTACTAAAGTCTTGCAAGCTGAAATGTCAGATTAAGGGAAAAGGAACAGCACATTGGATCCTGCTTTTCATCAGATTTTGTGCCAGACATCTGGCCCATTAAACTTGCTAAATTCTTAACTTTAAGACAGCCACAACTTTCCAAGCTTCTTCGTTTCCTCTTCCCTCTTCAATCCCCTGGGATATGGCCAACTAGCAAAGCTACTCAAAGGGTCTCAAAGCAGGTAAGAAGTACATACTAAGAACTCAAGGAAAGACTGTGAAGAAGGCTGCTCTGTAACAAAGCAGAGTCAAGATCCCAAACCAGAACAGTGAAAGAACAGGGTGGGATGAATTGAAGCAAGAGAGATCTGGTGATAAGTAGGAGGACGGAGTAAATTCATTTTGTACTGGGAGAGAAGCTCTAGCACACTGAAAGCAAGAATGTTTCCTTTGACTGTGTCTTTCCAGGGGGTTATGAAGGACAAGAAATGAAGGAGGGGGACCTGGACATTGCCCTAAGGGATGAAGGAATGGTCATGGAAGAGAGGAGAAGTGGGGATCATGTACATGTTTCTCAACTTTACTTTGAGATTTGGGTTAGGACTGACTTCATGGCAGTTATCACTCCTTCCCTTTTATTTACTGGGATGGAAATCAGTATAGAAGAGGTGACTCTAAGAGTTTGGGTTGGACATGCAGGGAAAAGATGGAGTAGAGGGCAAGTTGCAAATGTTATTGTACCCCTGACATTCTATGAACATTTTGGCAGAATATGAGTAAGGTGATGCCACCATTTTTTGGCGGGAGTGGAGGGGAGTGCAGAAAAACCCTAGGTCATGGGAGGGCATCTTCTCTTCTATTGAAACAAGGCTAAGGATACTACCAACTACTACCACCTTGACCACTGTACTGCTAACAATTGAGTGCCCTCCCTTTGCTAGGAAGATTGTGCCAGGCACTTCACATTCACACCCATTTAACATTCACACCAAATTTCCAAGTTTCCATTTCATAGAGGAAGAGATTGAAGGCAGAGAAATCAAGAATCCTGTTCAAGTTTACACAGCTAGTAAGAGTTTTAAAAATCTCCATGTAGAAGTGTTGGCTGGGTACTCTCTGCACAGCTACCTTGCAGACTTCCAGGAAGAATGATTGAAAGTCTGAATAAATGCTCCCCTCCCCAAAAGGGTACTTTTCCTTTCTCACTCTCACTGAGGTTTTCATTTTGGAATTGTTGAGCCCTGGCACAGTAGAGGGAGGAGTAGAGGTAGTGTTTTGAAGGTAGGGAGGGACTAAATCATTCTTCATATGGCACAGTATCCTTCCCTTATTCAGCTACTAGAATGATGACAGACTCACACTCTGTTGAGACAGGATCCTGGAGGATCCCCCTATGGGGAAATTGCCTGATCTGAGAAGAAAGGCTAACAGATAAAGACAGTTGGGAATCCTCTTACACAAAGGCTTGATGTCTGCCCTATTACCCGCCTGACAGTAAAGTCTACAATGCAACTAATCCCTCCCACTCACAGAGAGCATCTGATCCACCTGTTAGCACCTCACTCTTAATTATGAACCACAATCAATGATCACTACACATTTGAAGAGAAGATCTAAAATGAAAGACACCGACAAATAAATGAGAGGTTGAAGACATATTCAGTATAAATGGTCTCAACATTTTTATTACCCTTCACTTTTATCAGAAAGCTACTGGAGAATGTGTTGCTACAGAACAGGAGATTTTATTTCCTCTAAATCAAGATAGAGGAAAACATGACAGCTAGGAAACAAATAATCCAACACAGGAGAAAGGTGAAGAGGATTCCTAGATTGTTGGTATGCAGCAGGCTTTAAAAGCAACTCATTCATGTTGGAGCAGAATTCTCAAAGGACTCTACAAGAGATGTCTCCAAGAAAGACAAAAAAACATAATTGATGTGCACACATTGAGAGTGATTTATATTTCTCTTGAAGAGCTTGAGATAAACTAGTGATAAATATATAGAAAAACAAGTCAGTGAAAGGACAATGCATTATTAAATGCTAGAGGAAAAGAAACCTTTGTATAAAATGTACACTACATGGCTCAGCTGTGAATAATATTTCCATACAGAATAATGTAAATATATTGTAATATTTCCTCTTATCTACGGTTTTATTTTATGCAGTATCAGTTACTCATGGTCAACTATGGTCCAAAAATATTAAATGGAAAGTTCCAAAAGTAAATGCTTAAGTTTTAAATTGCATGGCATTCTGAGTAGTATGTTGAAATCTAGCATCATCCCACTCCGCCCTTCCAAGAATGGGAACCATCAGTCCTTTCTTCAGCAGATCTATACTGTATATGCTACCCACCCCTGTGATCAGATCGACTGTCATAGTATTGCAGTGCTTGTGTTTATGGTACTCTTATTTTACTTAATAATGGACCCAAAGCATAAGAGTAGCAATGCTGGCAATTTGGATATGTGTCAAAGAGAAGACAAAAAATGCTTCCTTTAAGTGAAAAGGTGAAAATTCTTAACATAATAAAAAAATTGCCTGCTGAAGTTGCTAAGATCAGCAGTAAGAAGGAACCTTTTATCTGTGAAATTGTGAAGAAGGAAAAACAAATTGTGCTAGTTTTGCTGTCACACCTCAAACTGCAAAAGTTGCAGCAACACTGTGTGATAAGTGCTTAGTTAAGATGGAAGAGGTGTGAAATTTGTGAGTGGAAGGCATGATTAACAGTGTTCTGAAGAACAGCAATTGAATTTGATATTATCCATGGTTTCAGGCATCCAATGGGAGTCTTGGAATGTGTCCCATGCAGACAAGAGAGGCTACTGTAGTGAAATACTGTGATAAATTTTTTTTTCCAGGAAATGAGGGGAGAGTGTGCATGTTTCAGGGAGGCATCAGAAAGCTAAGCTGTCATCTTCCACACAGAAAGTACATAATAACTAAGTCTAGGAGATGATGAATAACTGTGTAAGCATGTTATATAGCAATAGGAGGTAAATCCCAGAAGAAGCAAGGAAAAGAATGGACTGGAGCCAGTGGTGGCTCAGTCTGTAATCCCGCGCCTTTGGGAGGCTGAAGTGAGTGGATTGCCTGAGCCTGCGGGTTTGAGACCCGCCTGGGCAGGTGAGACCTCCTCTTTACAATAAATCAAAAAATTAGCTGGGCGTGGTAGCGCGCGCCTGTAATTCCGGCTACTCGGAAGGCTGAGGGGGAAGGATTGCCGGAGCCCAGCAGGTCGAGGCTGCGGTGGCCGGGAGCGGCCACTGCACTCCAGTCTGGGCGACAGAGTGAGACTCCAACTCAAAAAAAAAAAAAAAAAAAAAAAGAACGGACTGGGATGGCCTCTGGAGAGAAGTTGTGGACCAGAGAATAGGGTGGGGATTCCTCTGTTTCTTTTAAGAACTGTCTAACTTGTGAATATGTATGACTGAAGTAAAATAAAAAATTAAGTTAAAATTAAATTTAAAAATTAAAACGAATTTGAAGGGTGTTTTTTGTTTTAATGAAGAAGATAATCAAGGCTACCACAAATGGAAACTTAACACTGACAGGAGAAAAGAAAGCAGGAAAAGACTAGATTTGGATTTTAGTCCTTGAGGGAAGCCCAGCAAGCCTTTCCTGAGAAGCAGCTCCTCTCTTAAGATGAGAGAAGTTACTTCCTGGGGTCAGTGGCTTGATATGTCACCTAGGATGTTTTCAGTTGCAAATAGCAGAAAACCCAACTCCAAATGGCTTACATAACGAGATTTTGCTATGTCACATAACTGAAATATTCAAAGAGAAGGGTCTCTGTGAGCCTTCCTCTACAGGTGTTGGACTTGTCACATGGATGAATCCCTCCATAGTAACAAGTTAATTGCAAGATGCCTGAGGTTATATACTTCCTTATTTGTTTCTAGAGAAGAAACACGGTGTCTTCTACTCAAATAATCTAGCTAGAGCCCTGAGCTTTGTGTTGATTGGACTTAGATCACACACCCACTTCTTTTTTTTTTTAATCAATATTTTTTATTATGATATTGTGAGGTACAGTTAAGGGTTAGGTATACAAATATGCTTCGTTCAGGCACCCTTGTTGATAAGAGGTGTCTCCTCATCTCCAGACAGATATTTACTACCGTTAATCCCATCTTCCTTTCCCTTCCCCCCATAGTTTCCCACCACTGTCAGTCATTTTCTTATAGTATTACATTGGATGTTCAAGGTCCACTATATGAGTGAGAACATGTGACACTCAGATCTTTGTTTCTGTGAGAGATCACTCAGTATTATAGACTCTAGTTCCATCCAGGTTGCTGCAAAATTCATGATTTTGTTCTTTTTTATGGCTGCATAGTATTCCATCGTGTACATGTACCACATTTTAAAATCCAGTCCTCTTTTGATGGACAGCATGGTTGCTTCAAGGTTCTTGCTATTGTGAACAATGCTGCCATAAATATACATGTGCAGGTATCTTTTTTATAGAGTGATTTGAGACCCACTTCTAAACCAAACTACGGAAGAAAGGATTACTCTGACTAGATAAAGCTGATCAGAGTCCACACCTGGATTAGGGTTTGGGGCCAAACTCACTGAAATCTCAGCTGGGAAAAGGTAGAAATAGGGCTTGCAGAGGTCACAAATGCCTGGCAAATGAGGTAGAGAAAAAACTGCCAATCATTCAGGCAACCAGGCTGGGTGTGGCCTGTACCTGAGTGGAAGGTCCAGCCGCTTCAGAATGATGGTCTCCAGGAAGAAGGGCAAAAGCTAAATTTTGAGTTTCTATTGTGAAGTCATAGGAATTTTCAAGTGGCAATCAGAAATCTCAACAACCTCTCAAGAGTAGAATA